AGTGACGTCATGGCTGTCACCGGCCAACGAGTTGGTGTTTTTTCAATGTATGCTTCAGACACGGGTCACGACGAGGCGTTCCCCATAGCGTCCCCTAGAGAACGCAGTTCGAAGTTCCCATGAAAGGGAACAAACAAGCAAGCCCTGCCCAGATTTAAAAAGTTACTCAAAAGTAACGTAATGCATTACTTTCCATAAAAAGTAACTAAGTAACATAATTAGTTACATGTTTAGGGAGTAACACAATATTGTAATACATTACTTTTAAAAGTAGCTTTCCCCAACACTGGTAAGCACTGTCAAGTAATGTACAAGCTATATTATATTTTTGTATAATGAGCATTAAACTGTGTAATTGGCTGTTACTGGGGTTATTATAAATAACTAAAACTCAATTGGGTTTTAATAAAAAACTCAAAGTAAATTGGCTTATTATAATGAACTACAACTAAAGGGGCTCATTAACATTCGTGCCACTGGACTCGCTCCGCCCCCCCATGGCTCTTGGCCCCTCCCCACAGACCATTTTTTGCTCACTAATTTCGCTAATGTGACCACACTTTAAAAGATGCAATTCACCACTGGAAAAATAGGGTTTTAATACAAGTTGGCTGTCTGTGCAGTAGAAACACGAGTGTACACTCTTCTGAGGTTTTTCGAGGAGTTGCGAATTTACAGAATTGTGTGAAATTAACTCACATTTGCAAGTTACAAAGTCAGAATTGTGTGATATAAAATCAACATTGTGAGTTACAAAGTCAAGTTACAAATAGTAAGATTATGTCTTGCAATTGACTGTTCGCAAAGAGCTTGATTGACAGGTGATCTGACCAATCATAACGCCATCTTGTCCGACAGCTATGGCTGGAAACTTACGATAAATTAAATTTTTTTTTACCTATTAGATTGTGTTTTATTAACGTCTACACCTACTCCAACCCTAAAAAAAATTATGCAAAAACAGTAATTATTGTTGTACAGCATGACAAAAAATACACTATATTGATGTGCGCATGCCCAGGAGCCGCAGCTGTTTCACAACCACAAATCAGACAGGAGAGTAGATTAATTTTGGTTGACTTAAACTTGAAAAATGGTATGTTCCGCGGTTGAAATAAAATATGTTCTGATGTTCATTCATGTTTATTTCATGATTTTTATTTAATGTTCAAATATCCGTTACTCTCATCGAATCGTTCACATGCCATTTTTTCTGTTAACTTTCAGTATCCTTGAAAGTGAAAGGGGACTGGAGCAAAACTGACGAGGAGAAGCATCATGGAAGTAGTTAATATGACTCATATGCTGTATTACAAAGCCTTCTGAAGCCATGTGACAGCTTTGTGTAAAGAACAGACTGAAATTTAATTGACTTTTTCTGGGAGAACTGTCCCTTTAAAAGAACCTCCTTAGTAGTTGTGTGTGATTGTGTGTGTGTTTATGCAAATGCAGCACAGTGTAACACAGGCTACATTAATAACATGAGTTATTAATAACACCAGTGATTCAAAATGTGTATTTGCTGTACAATTTGAAACAGCTTTTTTTTTGCTTTCTTCAGATGCCAAAGTCAATGTAAGGGACTATCACGGGAAGATGGCAGCTCATTACTGGAGTGGCAGCAAGGATATTTTTACCGAACACAGATCTCATCCTGGCACGTATTTACTATTCAGTGTTTCACATTTCCAGAAGCATGTTTAGAACAGTGACTAACAAAATCATTCTGTGCATTGTGTCAACATCTCTCTGCTGCTGTATTGGCTGTCTGTGGTGATTGACAGCTGTTTTGCTCCACTCAGCTTGCAGCTGGCCGAGGGGGAGGCGGGCCCAGTGTTACGCGCAGCTGTCTGCCCTCCTGTCTCGCTCTCAGAGTAACAGAAACATCAGTGCAGAGACCTCCAGCAGTCCACTAGAGCTCCATCACTCTCACTATATATATATATATATATAAACTTCGCATAATATAATTTTACCACTTAAATTACTAAAAGAGAGCACACTTCATGCCTGTTTCTTAGCATAAATACATGACATAAATACAAATTCTTAAATACATGACATAAAATAATAGAAATTATATTAAAATATATTTTAGTGTACCATAAATATTTGTCTGTACATTCAGCATCACTTTAACTATATTTAAATGAAAATACAATTACGAAATTACACAAGTCTTACTTAAGTGGCTCAAAAAAAAGTTTTTTTATATAAGTGTAAAACATAACACATTTCATTTAATTGTTATTAATGTGCAATTAAGTGTCCAAAAACACTTAAGTTTACATTTAAGTGTATTCTTTTAAAGTATTTTATTTCTGTAATAATCACTCTTAAATATGCTCAAGTGTAATTATTTTTCACAAGAGCATTCTATTAATTAATTCTTTTTTTTTTTTTATTTTGTAAACTGTGTAAACCTTTTGCATATGTGGACAACTAATAGCACAGTTTATTAGACCGTTAGATTTATTTGTAACTTATAATATATAAAAGAGGTAGATATACACACACACACACACACACACACACACATGTGTGTGTGTGTGTGCGCGCATGTTTATGTGGTTTACACAAATGTGTACAATAACATGGGTATGACATAGGTATTACAATGAGAAGGTGATTTATGAGGACATTTTCAGTGTCCCCGTAATTCAAAAGGCTTATAAATCATTCAGAATGAGTTTTTTTGAAAATCTAAAAATGCAGAAAGTTTCCTGTAATGTTTATGTGGTTTACACAAATGTGTACAATAACATGGGTATGACATAGGTATTACAACGAGAATGTGATTTATGAGGACATTTTCAGTGTCCCCGTAATTCAAAAGGCTTATAAATCATTCAGAATGAGTTTTTTTGAAAATCTAACAATGCAGAAAGTTTCCTGTAAGGGGTAGGTTTAGGGGTAGGGTTGGTGTAGGGCAATAGAAAATACGGTTTGTACAGTAGAAAAACCATTACGCCTATGGAGTGTCCCTATAAACCATAAAACAAACCTGTGTGTGTGTGTGTAAAACACTGCAAGCACCAGGATTTGTCTACCTCTTTTACTCACTTAAAGTACATAGTTTGCTGATAATGAGACGATACTCATGCAGTCACATTAGCGGAATTTTGGCAGAACTTTATGGAGAAAAACAATCAACAGTGCAGTGACGTATGAAGCGCAGCTTAGTCAGAAGTCATTTCTAAACCGAGCAGCTTTCTTTGGCTCAGCGAGGTGAATTCACATGACCAGCTGAACCAAAACATGCGCAAACATCATTGCTGTTAATCTTGCATTTACTTGTCAGAAATACCAAACCAGTCTCTCCAGCGTTCTCTTTATATACACCCCAATTAACACAAGGCCTAGAGGAACACAACACGGCGTAATGCTTCTGTCCATCTGTTGTATCTCAGGCCTTTGTCTTTGTTTGGACACTAGCTGCAGTATTTCTCACTATCAGACCAACTCTCGCAGCCGACGTGCAGCTAGCGGCTGTCGTGTGAGAAAGCTGTGTGCAGACAGCGGACACTCAGAACGGACCAATGGTTTGCATGAGTGGCGTACAGCTATGAAAACTCTCTCTGGAATGAGACTGTGGGTCATTATTTTGTAGAAAGGAAGTCAAACACGCTGATGAATCTTTAGCAATATCTATTGTAGTTCAAAGTCTAGCAATCTTTAGTGACTGTATGCAGTCTGGATTTCTGGGAAAACTCAGCAGCATGTTCTTGTGCGAATGTTCATTATGTCTGAATGACGATTAGAAATATGAAAATGCAATGCAAGAAAAATGGACATCTTTCTTGAACTGTTATCTTTTATTCATTTTTATTTAAAATGTATTTCATTTAATTTTATTCATTTGTCTTTATTTTATTTTATTGTATTTTATTGTATTTTATTTCCTCCGGTGATTAAGAAACTTCTAATATCACAAAATAACATTACGCTAACACTGCTTGTGACATTATCACATCTGTTGCTGGTTAGAAATGCGATCTGGTGTCAAAATGTGTCCTTAGGTGTTCAGGTGTAAAGAAAAGAAAAAAAAGACAGCAGACACCGGTAAAGGAATATGTTTTTGGCTGGAACTGCTTAAAATAGAGCTCAGACGTTTATGTTTCCTGTTACATTACTATCAATGACAAAATTATCTAGTAATGACCATAATATAGTACCCTACAGCAATCTGTTCATAATCAGCATTCCCTTGTGAAAACCTACACTTTAGCATACCTTTAAAAGAGTACTTATTATGAAAATAGTATACATCAAAATGTGTACTCAGATATGAAGGTAATGTTCTTGGAATGCTTAGTTGCACATCATTTGCAATAAAAAAAAATGTATCATAGTTTAAATTTATTTTAAACGCAATTATCTATAGGAATGCTGGGAGGTCGAGCATCTCTCACTCATTCTCCATCAATAACAGTCGCTCACACCTGCCTCGGGCCGTTTGTTTAGGTCAAGATTTAGATCCTGCATCTCTGCCACCTCTGGCAAAGCACACAGACAAAGAGGCTCTTGGGTAATCTTTGAAAAGAAATGGGAAGACACACACACACACACACACACACATATGTCTGGTCAGCTATCCTTGTGGGGAATCTCCATAGGCGTAATGGTTTTTCTACTGTACAGACCGTATATTCTATTGCCCTACACCAATGAAAACCTACACTTTAGCATACTTTTAAAAGAGTACTTATTATGAAAATAGTATACATCAAAATGTGTACTCAGATATGAAGGTAATGTTCTTGGAATGCTTAGTTGCACATCATTTGCAATAAAAAGAAAATGTATCATAGTTTAAATTTATTTTAAACGCAATTATCTATAGGAATGCTGGGAGGTCGAGCATCTCTCACTCATTCTCCATCAATAACAGTCGCTCACACCTGCCTCGGGCCGTTTGTTTAGGTCAAGATTTAGATCCTGCATCTCTGCCACCTCTGGCAAAGCACACAGACAAAGAGGCTCTTGGGTAATCTTTGAAAAGAAATGGGAAGACACACACACACACACACACACACATATGTCTGGTCAGCTATCCTTGTGGGGAATCTCCATAGGCGTAATGGTTTTTCTACTGTACAGACCGTATATTCTATTGCCCTACACCAACCCTACCCCTAAACCTACCCCTCACAGGAGACTTTCTGCATTTTTAGATTTTCAAAAAACTTAATTCTGTGTGATTTATAAGCTTTTGTACCCGTGGGGACCTCAATTTAGGTCCCCACCGTGACACGAGTCCCCATAAGTCTATGTGTATTCAGGTTTAAGTTCCCTCCAGAATATATAAACCAGTACACACACACACACACACACACACACACTCACTCACAAACACACTCTCTCACACACACACACACACACACACTCACACTCACACACACACACACACAAACAGGTGTGTGCCGATAACTTTTCTAGCTAAAGCAAATATTTCAGACATTCAAAGTTGGTAAAAGCATTTAAATTCAAGTAATGATCCTTAAATGCACTGGACTGTGTGCTGGTGTCTCAAAATAATCAGTTATGGCAATTTAAACAATCATTCATTACATTTAACATCCAAAGTTTGACCTTAAAGCACAAAGATGGGAAATTATGTATAGGGCAGGATTGAGTTCATCCTTGAGAATGAGATTGGATCAAGGATGTGTGTGTGTGTGTGTGTGTGTGTGTGTGTGTGTGTGTGTGTGTGTGTGTGTGAGAGAGAGAGAGAGAGAGTGTGTGTACACAGTGCTGGACAGATTGCTTGAAAAATGTAGTGCACAACTGATTACAGATGATGATCACATGAAACTAGTAATGTAATCTAGGTTACTCATTTTAGGTAATGTATTTTTACTACTTTTTAGATTACTTTTTATCAAACTTGTTTTAGACTTACTATTCAACATACCATACATACATACATGCATATGTGACACCAGTCATAAGTCGCTGGGGTATATTTGTAGCAATAGCCAACAATACATTGTATGGGTCAAAATGATTGATTTTTCTTTTATGCCAAAAATCATTAGGATATTAAGCAAAGATAGTGTACCATGAAGATATTTTGTAAATGTCCTACTGTAAATATATCAAAACTTAATTTTTGATTAGTAATATGCATTGCTAAGAACATCATCTGGACAACTTTAAAGGTGATTTTCTCAATATTTTGATTTCTTTGCACCCTCAGATTCCAGATTTTCAAATAGCTGTATCTCGGCCAAATATCGCCCTATCCTAACAAACCATGCATCAATGGAAAGCTTATTTATTTTTATCAGCTTTTATTTTCATTTCAGATGATGTATAAATCTCAGTTTGAAAAAAATTGACCCTAATGACTGGTTTTGTGGTCCAGGGTCACAAATATGGAATCCATGTAATTGTGAATTTCACAAGAGGGCGAACGGTTTCTTGTAACACATAAAAGATAATCAAAAAGTCTCTTTAAGTTCTCTTCTGGTGCAAGCAGTTTCATTCCCACACCAGCCCCCCATCGTTTTCTCTCTAAAGTTACACACTTGCTTTGTGTCATCAGACAGACATCAATAATGGATTCAGTGTTGGCGTCCGATTTCATGTCTGGCGCGTTGTGCGTCACTAAGAGTGCGTTTTTATCACCAAATCCTCCATGGAGCCGAGAGAACGGCGACAATGGAGTCCTCCAGGTTAACTTTTCCTTTGTGTTCCCGTCTGCAAAGCACAACACAATACATGACTATATATCAGGGCTTAAGCTGTCAGATCCCTCCTTCTGTCCCAGAGACACCGCAAAGATGGATCACCCCTGCCCAGAGAAAAGATCTGCTGCTGCTCAATAGCAGCTGGATTGTTTTACAGGACAATTAGGCCTGGCCTTTGTTTGGGTAATTACAGTGCATTTGAGGCAGACCAGCCCCCTTCAGGTCATGTGGACAACCTTGACTCAGTCATTAGAGAAACGCC